ACAGCAATTCACATGAATGGGGTGCTATTCTGATGCGGTGCGGAATTTGCACTGAAAACGCTGAGAATTCCGCACCGCGTCAGTGTGAACCAGGGCTAAAGGATAATGGCACCCAAATGCACATCACATGTGCATTTTGCAGCGATTGCCACGTGATTTGGAATCGCAGGCAGAATCAAGGCGATTCTGCCTGTGATTCCAAATCGGGAAGTGTGAATAGGGCCTTAATCCTTTCCTGTGTTTCAGTTTAGGCTGGTGCCATGACTGCTGTGCCAAGTGTCCTGTTTCAGGGTGGCTCCTTTCTCTTTCAGCATTCCGTGGAGCCACAGTTACATGCAGGGACTAGAGTTGTATCTCCCTACACTGTGTGCGTCAATAGAAACACACAGCCCTGTAGTGTAATGGAAACTATGGGAATACCAGGTAAAACTCCGGACACGAACTTGAAGAACACAAACCTTTTATTTACCAGCACTGGTTGACTTAGCAAGGACACGTGTCTGCAAGCTAAGTGTCTTGAAAAAGCATCTTGTAGGGTATACATATCAGCAATTATGTCACAATGCATATATTTCCTCTTTCACTTTCTGTACATTTAAAAGACTTTCTAAGCAGCGCAGAATATGCCCTTGCTAGATAAATTATCTTCACCTGAAAATAAGGGTACCAGCAGGGGCGGACTGACAACTCATGGGGCCCCCGGGCAATAGGGAATCATGGGGCCCCTGTACCCAAACTCAAAAAAGCTTATGAAAAAGGTACCAGGGGCATCTCATGGGGCCCCCTACTGACCCCGGGCCCTCGGGCAGTGCCCAAGTTTCCAAATGGTCAGTCCACCCCTGGGTACCAGCTACAGACTGAAACACATTATTCCGCAGGAAATAAGGGAGGGGGGAAGTAAGCTGATGACCTTGGTTTTCAAACAGATGCTGTTAGAAATGTTAAAACTTAAGGGGAACTCTGCAATATTTGGGTGCTGCCACAGTAGCCTAGGATGGCAAGACCTCCTCTGCTCCTCCCTTCTCTTCTCCCCTCCTTTCTCCAAGCTAATAGACTGACTGTAGACTGCGCTGTCCACTGTTAAAGTATAAATAAAGGCAAAACTTTTTTTTATGTTTTGGATAGAGTGGAGAGGGATTAGAATAATTGTCAGTTTCTATTGCTGTCTGTTCCCCCATTAAGGAGATTCACCCTCCCCATTTGTCCTGTTTACCATTATCATTGGAAGGGAAAGTAAAAGAAAATCCCGAATTTTGGGCTGTCCCCCAAAAAGTAATAGAGGGAAAATCCTCCAATGAGGACACTGGTTCTGGTGACCTGGAAAAAACCTTAGTTTGCAGAGATTTCCTCTCACTTCCTGTTTGGCTATGGGACAGGAAGTGAAGGAAAATCTCAGCTATGGGACACAGATGGTGAAAAAAAAATCTGACAGGGGTTACAACCCTCCCTTACTCCATGCAAAATGGAAAAAAAAAAAAAAGCTTTGCCAATAGTTATGCTTTAACTCTTTCCTGTGAAGACTGGATGTTCAGGGAAGCAGCACTGACAGAGCAGGATCCAGCAGCATTGAAAGTTGTAAACTGCTAGTGTCAGGGTAAAAATTTTACCAGTTTACTGGAGAATTTTTCTTTTATTGTGCTCAGTGCGTTGGATTAAAAACAACTGACGTTTACCACTACTTGAAAAATGATTTATTTTCCTGTTTGGAGCTTTCTGTAACATTATACATTCTGTATGGTATAGTTAGGTGCCCGGGGTCAGTAGAGGGCCCCATGAGATGCTCATGGTACCTTTTTTGGGTGTGGTTTGAGTGTGGGAGAGGACACAGGGGCCCCATTGTTATCTATTGCCCGGGGGGCCCCATGAGCTGTCAGTCCGCCCCTGGGTATAGTATATCACTGTTTACCAGCAGTTGTTTTATTTTGCTTTTTGTGTTTTTTTTCCTATGTAGACTTTATTCAATTTAATAGTGATCCTTGGAGTAGATACTGCACATCCTATAGGGAAACAGACAGTGATACAACAGGCAGGATATTGAGCAGAGCTATGGCACACAGAAACGCAGGAAAAGTTACAAATGAATGATCTGACAGCTGTCAGTGGGACTGCTCATGTGACATTTTTCATTTCATAATGTACCAATTACTGACACATTGGGCTGATATCTTAGTCACTCTGTGACCTTCACTGGTTACAGCAATGTCACTGCTTGTTCCAGGAGGAAAAATGGATTTCTTTCAAGAAATAATATCCGCCTAGACCAAACTACGGACCATGGGCCACTACAAGATTGTATCATTTTTAGAGTGGTATATCCTCTATTTGCACAGATTGAGGATTCGTGTCAGTAGAGGTTGCCTATTATCTTTGCTTCTCCCCCAAACAACCCCCCCCCCCGCTATCTTCGTCATTAGTTGCTAGGACTGCAGGCATCCTAGCAACCAATGTTGCGCTTGACCTAGGATTCGCAGGTGGACAGAACTCCCCCTGTCCAACCTACTCCACCTCCTGCTCTGCTGCTGTACCCATGCTGTACGCTTTACAGTGACTCTGATGGGGACAATGATGTAAGAGTGGGACCATAATCAGGATCCTGATGTAAGGGGAGGGTCTTATACCAATGATAATGGTAAACAGGACAAATGGGGAGGGTGAATCTCCTTAATGGGGGAACAGACAGCAATAGAAACTGACAATTATTCTAATCCCTCTCCACTCTATCCAAAACATAAAAAAAAGTTTTGCCTTTATTTATACTTTAACAGTGGACAGTGCAGTCTACAGTCAGTCTATTAGCTTGGAGAAAGGAGGGGAGAAGAGAAGGGAGGAGCAGAGGAGGTCTTGCCATCCTAGGCTACTGTGGCAGCACCCAAATATTGCAGAGTTCCCCTTAAGTTTTAACATTTCTAACAGCATCTGTTTGAAATCCAAGGTCATCAGCTTACTTCCCCCCTCCCTTATTTCCTGCAGAATAATGTGTTCCAGTCTGTAGCTGGTACCCAGGGGTGGACTGACCATTTGGAAACTCAGGCACTGCCCGAGGTCCCAGGGTCAGTAGGGGGCCCCATGAGATGCCCCTGGTACCTTTTTCATAGGCTTTTTTGAGTTTGGGCAAGGACACAGGGGCCCCATGATCCCCTATTGCCCGGGAGCCCCATGAGTTGTCAGTCCGCCCCTGGTCATCAGTCATTATTACTAAGGAATGGAGGACAGTTGAACTTTTAAAAAAAAATCAAAAAAGAAACGTACTTATGTATTTAATGAACATTTAACATCCAAGTGTCTCAATCTGTCCTGATTAGATTGTAAGCTCCATGAGCAGGGCCTTCCTATTCCTTCTGTACTGAAATGAATACAGGCGTACTTCAAAAATGAACGCCTCGGTTAACGTCATTTTTGGATTACGAATGAAAATCCATTAAAAATAATGTCTCGGAATTTTTTTCGCAATACGAACAGATTAATTGGTTTTCAATGCATTTACAATTTTTTTTAATCATGTCCCTGTACAGTAGTTATGCCTTTAAAGTGCACTTTATAAAGAGTTTTGAACAGATAAGACTTTTTTTTACTTTTTTTCTGACCTCCGGAACGGATTAATTGGTTTTCAATGCATTTACGTATTTTTTTTAATCATGCCCCTTTATGCCTTTAAAGTACACTTTATAAAGAGTTTTGAACAGATAAGACTTTTTTTTTACTTTTTTCTGACTTCTGGAACAGATTAATTGGTTTTCAATGCATTTATTTATTTATTTTAGGTACTTATATAATGCTGTCAATTTACACAGTGCTTTACATATATATTGTACATTCACATCAGTCCCCAACCCTCAAGGGGCATACAATCTAAGGTCCCTAACTCACATTCATATACAATGGCCAAATTAGGCAGGATCCAATTAACCTACCAGCATATCTTTGGAGTGTGGGAGGAAACCAGAGCTCCCAGAGGAAACCCACACAGGCACAGGGAGAACATGTGAACTCCAAGCAGGAGGTGCCATGGCTGGGATTCAAACCAACGACCTTAGTACTGCCAAGTAGAAGTGCTAACCATTTAGCCACTGTGCATTTACATTTTTTTTTAATCATGTCCCTTTATGCCTTTAAAGTGCACTTTATAAAGAGTTTTGAACAGATAAAACTTTTTTTGACTTTTTTCTGACCTCCGGAACAGATTAATTGGTTTTCAATGCTTTTACTAATTAATTTTTAATCATGTCCCTGTACAGTATTTATGCCTTTAAAATGCTCTATATAAAGAGTTTTGAACAGATAAAAGACTTTTTTTTACTTTTTTCTGACCTCCAGAACGGATTAATTGGTTTTCAATGCATTCCTATGGGAAACCGTGTTTCTGTTTACAAATTGTTCGCGATACGAAAAGTCCCGAGGTATGCCTGTATTGTAATTGTCCTGTCTTCCTTTATATTGTAAAGCGCTGCACAAACTGTTGGCGCTATATAAATCCTGTATAATAAGAATAATAATAGCAGCTTTCTGTACTGATTAGTGAGGGCAGGGCTGGGAGCCAATCAGGCATTGGTGCAGTGAACAGGTACTGCCAGGGGAAATGAGCAGGGGGGTGACCTCATCTGACCCCCTGCAACACTTTTCCACCACTTCCTGTCTAGGTGACACCACAAGAAGTAAGGATACCCTCCCAGTAAGGACACAGACCTCAATCAAACTCTGTCCAAGGTTCTTACTAATCAACATAAGTGGCAATCCGTAGTTTTCCTCCATAACTTCTAGCTCTAAATTCATTCAATCCATAAGTCCCGGTTCTGCTAGGTGCAATGGCTAAACCTGGTGACATTTCCACAAAATGGACCACAGCAGTCCTGCTCAACTTGTGTAGGAGACAGGTACACTTTAGGGGGGGCAGCAATATGTTGTGGTTAGAAAGTGGCATGCCACTATCACTGTGTCACCGGCGTCCAGCTCTCTCCTCCCCTCCCCTCCCTCCCCTACCCAGCTGCCATTGTCACTCTGCCCCTTCCATCCCCTCCGCAGTCACAGCAAATATGGCATCTGGGAGAGTGACTCTAATAACAGGCATGGGACGTCTATACTGAGTGTTTGTATATGTTTGTCTGCATGGTGCTCCTACCCCACCCTGAGGGCCCCGTCACCCTGCTATGTCTGCATGGCCCCCAATCTCTATATGTTTGTCTGCATGGTGCTCCTACCCCACCCTGAGGGCCCCGTCACCCTGCTATGTCTGCATGGCCCCCAATCTCTATATGTTTGTCTGCATGGTGCTCCTACCCCACCCTGAGGGCCCCGTCACCCTGCTATGTCTGCATGGCCCCAAAACTCTATATGTTTGTCTGCATGGTGCTCCTACCCCACCCTGAGAGTCCCGTCACCCTGCTATGTCTGCATGGCCCCCAATCTCTATATGTTTGTCTGCATGGTGCTCCTACCCCACCCTGAGGGCCCCGTCACCCTGCTATGTCGGCATGGGCCCCAATCTCTATATGTTTGTCTGCATGGTGCTCCTACCCCACCCTGAGGGTCCCGTCACCCTGCTATGTCTGCATGGCCCCCAATCTCTATATGTTTGTCTGCATGGTGCTCCTACCCCACCCTAAGGGTCCCGTCACCCTGCTATGTCTGCATGGCCCCCAATCTCCTCTCTGAACACTTTCCTTCATCCTCCTTGTCCACTGATATGTACTATTCTTATTACCCTGTCTCTCTTTTCCACCCTACTCACTCTTTTCTGTCTCCCTCTCGCTCTGTTTCATTCCCTCTCTCATTTATCTCTCTCTTTCTTCTGCTCTCTTTGTCCTTTTTTTTCTACAATTTACATATTCTCCCCCCTCCATTCTCTTCCCCCCTTCTCCCCTATCTATCTCCCCTTTCTTCCCCCTCTCTCTCCCCCAGTCTCACTCTCTTTCTCGTCTCCCCCTTTCTTCCCCTGTCTTTCTCCCCCCACTCTCTCTCTCCCCTCATTTTCCCCTTTCTCCCCTGTCCCTCTCTCTCCCCCACTCTATCTCTCCCCCTCTCCCCCTATCTCTCTCCCCCACTCTCTCACTTTCTTTCTCTCTGTCTCTCTCCCCCCTCCTCTCCCCCCTCTCTCTCTATCCTCCCCTTCTCTGCTGTCTCTCTCCTCTCACTCACTCTCTCCCCCCACTCCTTCTCCCCCCCATTCTTCCCCTGTCTCTCTCCCCCCACTCTCACTCTCTTTATCATCTCCCCCCGCTCTCCCCCTCTCTTTATCTCTCTCCCTTTTTTCCCCTGTCTCTCTCCCCCCCCCCCACTCTCTCTCTTTCTCCCGTCCCCTCTCTTTATCTTTCTCCCTTTCTTCCCACGCCTCTCCCCTCCCCCCTTTCTCCCTTTCCTCCCCTGTTTCTCTCCCCCCACTCTCTCACTTACTCATCTCCCCCCCCCTCTCTCTCTTCTCCCCCTTTTTCTTCTCCTGCCCCCCCTCTCTCTCTACCACACTCTCACTCTCTTTCTCCCTCCCTCTCTCTCCCTCCTTTTTCCCCCGTCTCCCCCCCTCTCTTCCTCTCCCCCTTCCCCCCTTTCCCCCTATCTCTCTCCCCACTCTCACTCTCTTTTTCATCTCCCCCTCTCTCTCCCCTTCCCCTTTTCTTCCCCTGTCTCTCCCCCCCAATCTCTCTCTCTTCCCCCCTTCTCCCCTATCTCTCTCCCCCCACTCTCTCTCTCCCCCCATTCTCACTCTCTTTCTCATCTCGCTCCCTCTCTCTCCTCCTTTCTTCACCGTCTCTCTCTCCCCCCCACTCTCTCTCCTTCCTTCTCCGGTGCCTCTCTCCTCCCATCTCTCTCTCTCTCTCTCCTCCACTCCCACTCTCTTTTTCATCTCTCCCTCTCTCCCCTTTTCTTCCCCTTTCTTTCTCCCCCCACTCTCTCTCTTCCCCCCTTCTCCCCTATATCTCTTCCCCCACACTCTCTCCCCCTTCCCCCCCCCCCCACTCTCACACTCTCTTTCTCATCTCCCTCCCTCTCTCCTCCTTTCTTCACCGTCTCTCTCCCCCCACTCTCTCTCCCTTCCTTCTCCGCTGCCTCTCTCCTCCCAATTTTCTCTCTCGCTCCCCCAGTCTCACACTCTCTTTTTTATCTCCCCCTCTCTCTCCTCCTTTCTTCACCCGTCTCTTTCCCCCCACTCTCTCTCTCCCTTCCTTCTCCGCTTCCTCTCTCCTCCCAATCTCTCTCTCTCCCCCAGTCTCACTTTCTCATTTCCCCCTCTCTCCCCCCCTTTCTTTCCATCTCTCTACCCCACTCTTTCTCCCCCTGTCCCCTCCCCTCTCCCTCACCCCCCTTTCTACCATTTCTCTCCCTCACTCTCTCTCCCCCCTTCTCCCCTGTCTCTCCCCCCACTCTCCCCTTCTCCCTCATGTCTCCCCCCACTACCCCCCCCTCTCTCTTGCTCCCCCCTTTCTCCCCAGTCTCTCTCCCCCCACTCTCTCTCTCTCTCTCCTTTTCCCCTCTTTCTCCCCACACTCCTTCTCTGTCTCCCCCCCTTCTCCCCTCTCTCTCCCCCACTCTCACTCTTTCTCCCCTCCCCCTCTATTTATCTCTCTCCCCTTTCTTCTTCTCTCTCTCCCCCACTCTCTCCTGCTTCCCATTCTGTATTTCAGTTTTTTTCCCCCGTGTCTGTGATTTGACAGTTCAGCTCTATATATATACATCAGAGATATAAATACATGGCAGTGTGTGTGTGGGTGAGTGTGTATATTTATAAGTATCTGTAGGAGAACCTTTTTTTGGTCTCAATCGATTATAAATGTGTCCTACGTGTGGAATGTCATGCTTTTGTATCAATGTGGCTGGTGGACTCCAGGTTTCTCTGCATATGTTTACAGCGGTATAGATGGAAATGTGTGTATACATCACCCAATCATCTGCTGTCTGAGTCATCTGTAGCACATTCCACTGGAAGGTCTAATAGCGAGGCAAGACCCCCAGAGGCTGCAGCGGACCTGGGGCTACAGATCTTCTATTTGACAGCACTGGTGCCTCGTGTTTGGGCAGAATAGGAGTCCAAAGCCTTGTGTGGGTCAGTTTGGAGCCAACACAGGGGTTTCTTTCCCTGGCCCTGGCCAAACAGATTGGCGCAGGAGCTAGGAAAAGTGAGAGATGGTGCGAAAGAGAGAGAGAGAAGGGAAAGATAGGTCGAAGAAACAGAGTGAGGGGGAGAGAAACCAAAGAGAAATTAAGAGAAGGGATATCCAGTAAGAAAAATGTCACTGGGCTAGTTCTGTCACTGGTCACCAGCGATGGTGGTCAATGGCAAGGGGCTGCAAAATGGGCAATACCTGCAACCTCATGAGGAACGGAGGTGCACTTTGGCCTTTTCTCCTTGGATGCTAAAGAACCTTGTCCCAGCACATTTCTGCACCCCCAAAATTCATACCATCATTTTTTTTTCAATCCACACCTGCCTGTGGAAAGAGGACCAAGTGCTCATATTATGGAATGTTCAGATATAATGGAGTTCTTTAAAAAAAAAAAAAAAGCCAAAAAACTGCCGTATCAACAAAATATATATAATATAGCAATAAAGTTTTCAATAAACATGGTTGACGCGACAGTTCTTTGGTCTATTATTTGAAAATGTCTTAAGCTAGGTCATTGACAATATGCCTTCGGAAATAGAGTGTGGATATAATGGAGCTGCGTGAACCTGTTGTGTAGACATAATAGAGTTGCGTGATGGCAGCTTGAGGAACGCTGCTTATGATAGACAGTCTACACTAAGGGGACAAATCCAGGGCCAGATCTTCTACTATAAACCTCCAGGAGGTTATCTCTGTCATTGGCTTCTCATCTGTCATGTTCACACTCGGTGATTTTTTATTGTCTTATATTCTGTGAAATGTCACAAAAGTCTAATAGCATAAAGAAGAACTCTGATCTGGTAAAAACAGGAGAGCTGCTGAAATGCAACCGATTAACCATTTTATCTCCTATTCCCGTAATACCAGAGCTTATAATATGCAGCCTACCACCAGTAACCCTGGCAAATTTTGCTTCCACCCCCATATGCTACATCATGCCGACTGACCAGTTCAGCTGTGTGACATACTGGGTAAGAGCGGCCACATACAGGCCCCATATTTTTAATCCTTCCTTATGTAGCTTTACAGAGCTGGCAAGTCATTAGAGCGGGGGATCTTCAAACATTCGAAACAAAGGACTAGTTTACTGTTCTTCAGACCTTAGGGGGCCACAATATGACCAGTGGGGAATAGGAAATGTCCCAGGATTAGTGGGAGTAGACAGTCTTAAGCTTGGTAGTCAGTTGGAGTAAAAAAAAAATTTTGGCGCCTGTGGTCAGTAGGAGGAACAGTGCCCCATCAATTGGTATTAGTGGGGGGGAATAGTGCCCCATCAATTGGTATTAGTGGGAGGAACAGTGTCCCATCAATTGCTATTAATGGGGGCACAACAGTGCCCCATCAGTTGGTATTAGTGGGAGGAATAGTCCCATCAATTGGAATTAGTAGGAGGAATTGTGCCCCATCAATTGGTATTAGTGGGAAGAATAATACCCAATCAGTTGGTATTAGTGGGAGGAATAGTGCCCCATCAATTGGAATTAGTAGGAGGAATTGTGCTCCATCAATTGGTATTAGTGGGGGCAATAGTGCCCCATCATTGGTATTAGTGGGAGGAACCTTTTTAGCCCCCACCACAATTGGAATTAGTGTGGAAAGCCTTGAAAGGTACCAGGGGCATCTCATGGGGCCCCCAATTGGGGCCCTCGGGCAGTGCCTGATTCAAATGGTCAGTCCGCCCCTGCCTATTACTGGGATATAAATGATAGAGCCACTATTGGTATTACTATAGCACTAATTGCCTGGGGTACATTTTATATCTGTGGAAGGCAGGGGCGGACTGACCATTTGGAAACTCCGGCACTGCTATTGAGGGCCCGGGGTCAGTAGGGGGCCCCATGAGATGCCCCTGGTACCTTTTTAGGAAGAATAGGCTTTTTTGAGTTTGGGCAAGGAGTCTTCCACTGATACAGAAATAAATGACTAGGCACTATATCCATTATTGACTGCAAGTGGATGTGCTATGAACTGCCCCACTCAAACCTAATGGAAAAATCCAACTGCTTTCAATGAAATTGCAATTTTTTAACTTAATTTTTTCTATTACAATCTGTTCTAATTCCAATTATGGGGCCGATTCCCAAATGGTCAGTCATCCTGTGTCCGCATCGAAGACACAGGGGCCCCATGATCCCCTATTGCAGGGGGGTCCCCATGACTTTTGTCAGTCCGCCCCTGGTGGAAGGAACTATGCCCCCATTGTTGGTGTCAGTAGGAAGAATAGTGCCCAATTGCTGGTGTCAGTGTGGAAACAGTGTATCGAGGCGAGGGCAGGCAAAAAAAAATTAAAGGACCATGACAGGGATGACCAGAGACTGCGGACAGCACAGGGATGACCACTGCGGACAAATGACCAGAGCCTGCGGACAGTGGTGCCACAGTTTGAAGACCACTACACTACAGAAATCAATCTTTTGATTCCTTTTTTGGCAAAGTCTAAAAGCAATCGAAGACATACAATTATGCATTATTGACTGCAAGTGGATGTGCTTGAAATTGGGCCACTCGAACCTAATGGAAAAAAAGCACCGCCAACTGCTTTCAATGAAATTGCAATTATTTTAACTTTTTTTTCTATAGATCTGTTCATAAATGTTATTGTAGCTGTTAAATATTTCCCCCGCTCCATATTTTCCATTTCATAATCATCCAAATTCTGATGTTCACTCGACATGGATTCGAGCCGAAGTCTTAGTAGGTAGATTGCTTTGTTTCTGACAATTACAGTTCATATACAGTATATATATGCATTTCCATGGTGTACCTAGCTGTTTGTCTGGAGTCCACCTTTAAAGGAATTATTTATAATTCAGCATTTTTCCTGATTTGGCATTATGCTTTTCCCCATTCAGTATTTTTCTGGCTGTGTTTGTTTGGAGGCCTTTGTGATCAGAATGTCTATCCTAAAGTGGGCACCCTCTTTGTGCACAAGCTGGATGCTGAGGATTACCAACAACAATTCCTGAATAAATCAGGTAAGTGCTGACTATTGATATAAGTTGGCTTTCAGATGTATTTCTAACCCTTTATCGGAAATGTTAAGTGTAACCCACCCCCCCCCCCCCATATGTAAATTTTCAGTATAAAATTTGTGATACCTGTAACACACACTCTACAAAGAAAGACACCATCCACCAGGAGATCACTCTATTCAAAACTCTATTCAAATTATCGGAGATAATAATTTTTCTTCTGGAATTCTGGTTCTTGGGAAATGGTCTGGTTCTTGCTCTGAAGGGTATTGGCAAGGAAAGCAAACCCTCTAAAAATTAGCACAAAAAGCAGACAGTAACAAACGGTGGCATAACCCAACTCTTCTTCGCTTCGGTAACAACAACCTACCTCTACAGATCCATAGTTCAGCTTAAGACTCGCCTCTCTTATACATGGACAGTCTGGATGCTGGCCACCACAGTCTCCACTCTCCATTAAAAATATGAAAGAACATCAGCCACATTTTGCTTAGCTCCTTTTACCATATTATTTAATAGTCAATAAGTTGACTGCAAAGAACAATGTCTCCACCTAAGAACCAACCTTCCTTGACTGGTTTCAGCTCTCCTGGCTTATTCACGGTAAGATGTTCTTTCATATATTCAACAATCTACCTCTACTTTAGGCAGTTGAGGGTCTTCTTGCTCAGTGTTCTCACCACTCACACCTTGAGCATAGGCGGTCCTTGCCCTTAGGCAGTCCTCAATCTGCCCGTGTTTTCATCTTACCAAGGCAGAAAATTACCCTGAACAGTTAGAGAGGGCATCAGATAACTTGCTGACTTAACACAAAATGCCTGCTGACTCCAAGAAAAGCTACAAACATTCAGTATCATGACACTTAACATAATTAATTTTGTCTAATTGCCCCTAGATCTGATGCCAGCCCATCTAAGAAATACTTGGTACTTCCAAGTAAAGAGGAAAACATGACATTCCTCTGCCTCCGAACAATGTGACCTCTGGTGCCTTAGTGGCCAGTGCTCGAGCTCTATTAAATGGCAGTTGTGGGAGCATGCACAACCACTATGTAAGTATCAGCTTGCGTGGCCCAGGAATTTTGGAGAACCTGGTAGCCCATCAGAGCAGCAGGAAAATGACTAAAATATAAAAATGTGCTTCTTATACACAAAGTGAATTTATTACTTTGTCTAAAATGGGCAAAGTACAGGTTTAGGCATTGGGTAGGTGCTTAACACACATGACCATACATAGCTAGAGCTAGATAGATATAATGCTCAAGCTCAACGTTTACATTTCAACCACCTACGTTAAAATAATCCTATTTCTTCTTCTACTCAATGTTGTGTTCTCCATCTCCAGGTAATGAGCGAATTCAACCTATCTCTGTTCATGCTAACTTGGAAGGGTTCCCAGACTTGCCTGGATGGCTGCGTTATACCCAGCGTTCCCCATGGCACAGTGGATATCTATATGGCTCCCCAACTAACCCAGGGAAACAAGTCATAGAAGTATGTTTATATTATAGAATCGCATCTTCTTCACAGCCCGTATAAATTGGTCATCTGCATCATTTTTATCTGTTTTTTTAGATCAAAGTGTATAATAAACACACATTTGAAATGCTTCGAGAAAAGATCATTTTCCATATCCGTTCTGCAGATGGTAGGTGGTTTATAATACTCTTTCATGTGTAAGCCAACAATTTCATTTCCTATAGTAATGGGGTGTTCCTGTGTCCCAACTGAAGAATACGTATCTGTCCAAGACTATACAATATTGATACATTGCTATGCTTTGTTCCCTGTCTTTTCATGTTCTCTGGAGTGCCTGCATTTGAAGAGAGCAGTGGGAAGAATGGGGTTTGCAAGATATCATTCAATTAAATCAGCCATTGTGCCTTGGCTACTTCAGACGATATTATTTCATATGGCAGTATTGGAGCGTTGCTATGGCCTTGGCCAACACTGTCTAAATTGAGAGCACCCTTTTTCTTTTTGAAAATATATAACAATATTGAAGCATGATATTGTACTCGTCTTCTACCGTACTAACAGTAATGAACTTGGTGTAGAGCTATTCACCCTGAGGTCATCACAGAGGACAAGGGGGCACGCTTTATGTCTGGAGGAAAAGAAATTTAATCTCCAAACACGGAAAGGTTTCTTCACAGTGAGAGCTGTGACAATGTGGAATAGACTCCCTCAAGAGAGTTGGTTCTGGCCAGCTCAGTGGATTGCTTTAACCACTTCCCGTCCGGCCTATGTACATAAATGGCCAGACCGGAGCAGTGTAAGAGCGGGTGGGCATTTATAAATGGGCTCCGCATTCACTGCCTGAGCTCGCTCCCTGGGAGTGCACGGCACCGCGATCTGGTGCCCACTGTGACCGATCGCTGTACGGGACCTCTGTGTAAGGTCCCGGTTCATGTGGTCACTGATTGGCTAATCAGTGATCACAGGAACAGTAGTAAGCAAGATGTCACTTCCTGACATCATTGCTTACTACATGTGAAATCTGTGAATGATCACAGAGATCACATGGTACAAGGCTATTCACAACAGCTTTGCACCATGTGACAGGCTGTGACCAATCACAGTTCACACAGTATTTCTCAATGGCTGCAAGAATGCAGCCAAAGAGAAGGAGAAATTATTGCTTTTACAGCCCAGTGGAGTCCCGAGGCAGATGCGTGGGGTTCGCGCCGCACCGGGTGACACCTACCACATGGGGTGACTCCAGACCAGCTCCACAAAAAAAGGTAAGTTGTAAAGCAAGCCGGTGTCATCCCGTATTGGTTGCATGCCGACGATCCCTACAGGATGGATCGGATCTGCGGATTGGGGAGCATAATGGATCAGACTCCGATCCAATATGCTCAATCCGCACATCCGATCCATTCTACGGGGATCGTCGGAGGGGATGTCACCAAGTGTTATCGCACCGGGTGACACCAACCCTAGGGAGGCCCCTGTTACAACCTTTATGGGTGTAAAAGCAAACAGTGTAAAAAAAGAAAAAAAAACCTTTCTCACCCCCCCACAAGTATGGTCACTGTGGGGGGGTGAGAAAGTGGTGACACTGTACTGCTAGGATGACGGAATGTTAAAAAAAAAAAACATAATAATATAAAAAAAAAAATAAAAATGTAAAAAACATTTTTGAAAAATTATAATTTTTGGTTATAAACTAATTTTGGTTACTATTTTTTAATAAAAAGATAGATGAATACATTTTGAAGAATATTATTATTTATTTGCAAAATTTTATAAGAACAACAATTTTTTGTCATTTATATAGCAAGAAAATAAAAATCCCAACGGTGAATAAATGCCACCAAAATAAAGTTTTGTCTGTCTCAAAAAAGTTCTAAAAAATTCAAATGGGTACAGTGTTGCATGACCGTGCAATTGTCATTCAAAGTGTGATAGCACTGAAAGCTTAAAATTGGCCTGGACAGGAAGGGGTGAAAGTGTCCGGACTTGAAGTGGTTAAAAAGAGTCCTGGATTCTTTCTTAGATACACAGAATATAACTGGATACTAACATTTATAGGTAAAGTCAGGGGCGGACTAACCATTTGGGAACTCGGGCACTGCCCGAGGGCCCGGGGTCAGTAGGGGGCCTCATGAGATGCCCCTGGTACCTTTTTCATAGGATTTTTGAGTTTGGGCAAGGACACAGGTGCCCCCATGATCCCCTATTGCCCGGGGGCCCCATGAGTTGTCACTCCACCCCTGGGTAAAGTTGATCCAGCGAATATCTGATTGCCTCTTGGGGGATCAGGAAGGAATATTTTGGATCATGCTTTGCTGGGTTTTTTGCCTTCCTCTGGATCAACTGTGGGTATAGGATTATAACTTTTTTTTTTTTTTTATGGTTGAACTGGATGGACTTTTGTCTTTTTTCAGCCAGACTAACTATGTAACTAACAGGCAGTAGCAGAGTACTAGTATTAGGTGTACACAGCACAGTCTAACGCAGCTAACCAGTTAACTACAGCATAGGCTAAATGATTTACTAAGCAAACAACAGAATTATTAGTCAGTTACAGATAACTGGTTCAATAGGCAGCTGATATGGGGAACATCTGTGTACTGATATCTCTTTGATAAAATGGGGATTTTTGGCGCTGTTATGGTGGTAGGGTGCTTTAGAAGCAGGCACTTGGCACTGAAATTTTTGATACTTGATGATCAGAAGAATATACAGATTAGAAGGAGTTAACATAGTGGTTAGGCTATACAGGTAGGGTTTGAGCATACAGTAACTATACCCAAAACCAAAACTAAACTAAATCTTACACCCTAAATTAACCCTTCCCATTTTCTAACATTTGCCCTGAAGGTACCCCTCAACCGTGCCCTATCATTTCACCCGTAACCTAAAGGAATCCCAAAAGGTAAACCCTACAGAAAACTTTTTATGTGCCCATACAGCTCACTTTTCTGCTGGTCTCTGAACACAGTGATGAGGGACTAAAGAGAAGGTCAGTATAAGCATCTTAGTGGTGTCACTTGAAGAAAACTTGTTGCGTTGCATTGCATGGGCAAAAAACAGGTTCAAGTTAACCTCACTTTATTCTTGAACCTTTTTTTAACCCTAAAAGTTAACCCTGAAGGCCATGTCACATTGCTAAGAGTCCACTTGCCTATGGTGTCTCTCTCACTGGCTGGACCAGCAAGATGTCACTTCATGGGTGGTCCATTAGTTAAAGTTGCTGGTGGCAGAAATGTTAGTGTGACATTCACTTTAGGGTCAGTCTAACCCAGCGATTCTCAAACAGGGTTTCTCCAGAAGTTGCTAGAGGTTCCTTGACCTCCCTTTTGATGGTGCCACCATAGTTGCAGGTCCAATGCCACTGGGCAGAGTCAGCAGCATGACACCCATGATCTTTTTAGCTGTTTGTAGGGGTGGCATTTTAGGGTCACTCTAACCCATCCATTCTCAACCAGGGTTTTTCCAGAGTTTGCTAGAGGTTCCTTGAGAAGTAGCTGCTTGATCTCCCATTTGATGGTGCCACCATAGTTCAAAGTCCAATGCCACTGGGCAGAGTCAGCAGCATTACACCCATGATATTTTAGCTGTTTGTAGTGGAGGCATTTTAGGGTCAATCTAACCCATCCATTCTCAACCAGGGTTTTTCCAGAGTTTGCTAGGGGTTCCTTGAGAAGTAGCTGCTTGATCTCCCATTTGATGGTGCCACCATAGTTCAAAGTCCAATGCCACTGGGCAGAGTCAGCAGCATTACACCCATGATATTTTAGCTGTTTGTAGTGGAGGCATTTTAGGGTCAATCTAACCCATCCATTCTCAACCAGGGTTTTTCCAGAGTTTGCTAGGGGTTCCTTGAGAAGTAGCTGCTTGACCTCCCATTTGATGGTGCATCCATAGTTCCAGGACCAACGCCACTTGGCAGAGTCAGCATCATGACACCCATGATCTTTTTAGTTGTTTGTAGGGGTGGCATTTTAGGGTCAATCTAACCCATCCATTCTCAATAAGTGTTTTTCCAGAGTTTGCTAGAGGTTCTTTGAGAAGTAGCTGCTTGATCTCCCATTTGATGGTGCCACCATAGTTCCAAGTCCAATGCCACTTGGCAGAGTCAGCAGCATGACACCCATGATATTTTTAGCTGTTTGTAGCGGCATTGTGGCATTCTGACCACTACAGTAAGGAGGACATTCTTCCAGCTGGTCATCAATGTCAGAGGCATCGTACCAATGATGAAGGTTGAGAAAGGCTGGTCTGATCATAGAGCTTGGTGAGATAACTTTACTTTCTCAAATGTTTTATGACAATGAACCCAACTCAGAGAACAAACAGGTAGCAGGGTTTCTGTACCAAATACTAACATACCTTTCTTTTTGGGTGGAACATCTCATGACAGCCAGATTAGCCCCTTTGTTATCTTTTGTATATAATTTCCTCAAAAACATTGTATTTGTGGAAGAGCCATTCCCGTTTTGAGACCTGAAAATTATTTTAAGGGTCCTTCTGGGGTAAAAAGGTTGAGAAAGCATGGTCTGACCATAGGACTAGTTGAGATCACTTTACTTTCTCATCTGTTTTTGGTAATGAACCTAGCTCCAAGAATTACCAGGTATCAGGTTCTCCTTACCAAATTCTTCTGTACCTTTCTTTTTGGGTGGAACATCTCATGACTTAGCCAGATTAGCCCTTATGTGTATTTTTCTCTAAAATGTATTTGTGAAAGAGCCACCCCATTTGGAGGCCTAATGGACCTTTTTGGGTGGAACATCTCATGACTTCACTTTACTTTCTCAACTGTTTTTGGTAAAGAACCCATCTTGGAAAATTACCAGGTGTCAGATATCCTTATCAAATACTAAAGTACCTTTCTTTTGGGTGGAACATCAGATTTCCAGTTCATTAGCCAAATACTTGTATGTACCTTCTTTTTGGGTGGAAGATCTCATGACTGAGCTAGATTAGTCCCTTTGTTATCTCATATATGTATTTTCCTCTAAAACTTTGTATTTGTAGAAGCGCCACCCCCGTTCCGAGCTGAGTTTTTGGTTGAAAACATGGACGTGGAGGAGATGCTGCCACCAGAAGCTCAGCACAACTTTCAGGTTCCCCTACTGGCGGTTTGGGATACCCAGAGACTGTCTATCATTAATATCACATCAGCATTGGACAAAGGAGGAAGGGTACCTCTCCCACTTCCAGGACTTAAAGAAGGGTAATTGATATGCTCCTACTTTTCTCATCTCACCGTTTTCTTTGTTCTTAAAAAGATTTACACTTTTAGGTAACAAAAAACCTGGGGGTCTTCATTAAAATGGAGATAGTTTTCCCAAAAGACTTCTGGTTGTTGATTGGTTTCAAAGGATTAGCCATCTGTAATAGAGAAATGAAGATACTCTTTGTGTTGAAAGCAGATCTGTGAAGTTTTCCATTGTTAACCTTTCTTTCTGAAAATGCTAGTTGCCTTCTCATGCTGATCTAAAGGGTTTAATAATTCAATAATAATTGAATTTCTGATGCTCAGACTTGAAACACACTGAGGTGTAGTCAGAAACAGCCAGAGGGAACTAGTTGTAGAAGAAGGTCAGCAATGGTAATCTTTGTATTCTCTCTGTACGGGTTTCCTTTAATTCTAATGACATTTTCTAATAACCACCTGTTTTCATTATATAACTTTTTTTTAGACCTTGTGATGTCATCACTGGGTCTCATTGCTTCTCTCTGTCTTCGTAAACCTCCCAAGAGCCCTCAGCCCTAATTCAATCAGTGGAAGAGTTATGCAAATATCAAAATGCCTTGATTCCTGTATTTCAGTCTGGAGGAGGGCATTAGGACCATGCATTTGCATGCAGGACACCAAGGTAATGCCCACATCCACATCATGCCTCCCCAATTGAAAGAACTAGAGGAGGAAGCTTGGGTGAAGAGTGCTAGATGATGTTGGATGTCCTCCAACTAGGTAATGAGGTGGGCAGTGCAATCAGACTAAGCGGTCTCAGTACGGGAGAGGAGGCTGGAGTTCAGCATGAAAATTTTTTTTGAGCTATACTGACACCCTAATGGGTTTTTTTCAGCGTGAATGCGGCACCTCCAGCTCTGATAGTATGTAATGTCAAGTGGTGCTGGGATCTACTGGAGGGTCAATTGTTCCTGGCTGCTGGGGGATCTATGGCTGTAAGCAAAGGAGGGGGGGGGGAGTCAGTGGTTGCTGGGGAGGCCAATTGTTGTTGCTTGTAGGGATCTACTGTTGCTGGGGTCTTATGTTGCTGGAGGGGGGCTCAATTGTTGCTTGGATCTATGGTTGATGACTTGGTGACTTCTGGAGGGTTTATTGAGGCTGGCTGCTGAAAGATCTATTGTTGCTGGTGGGGTCTATTGGTTCTGGGCGCATCTATTGTTGTTGGTGGGATCTATTGGTCCTGGGGCGGATCTATTATTGCTGTGGTAAATTGCTGCTGGGAGGGAACTACTGTTGAGGGAAGGGTCTATTGTTACAGAGGGGTCAATGGTTGCTGGATAGGTTTATTGTGACTGTTACTCTGAGGGATCTGCTATTGATGCAGGGTCTATTGTTGCGCAATGGAGGGGGAATCAGTGGTTGCTGGAGAGGTCTATAGCTGCTGGTGGGGGATCTACTGTTGCTGGAGGGGTTTTGTGATGCTGGAGGAGGGTCAATTGTTGCTGGGAAGGATCTATTGTTAACATCTTCTGGAGTGTTTATTGATGCTGGCTGCTGAGAGATCTATTGTTGCTGGTGGGATCTATTGTTGCTGGGGGTAAATTGTTGCTGGATGGATCTATTGTTGAGGGAGGGGTCTATTGTTGTGGAGGGGTCAATGGTTGCTGGAGAGGTTTATTGTTACTGTTACTCTGAGGGATCTGCTGTTGATGCAGGGTCTATTGTTGTGCAATGGAAGATGGAATCAGTGGTTGCTGGAGAGTTCTATAGCTGCTGGTGGGGGTCTACCATTGCTGGAGGGGTCTTGTGTTGCTGGGGTCTTGTGATGTTGATGCGATGGATCTACTGTTAAGGAGGGGTCTATTGTTGCTCGCTGCTGGATGGTCTATTGATGCTAGCTGCTGAGTGAATTATTATTGCTGGAAGGGGTCTATTGCTGCTGGGGGGGATTTGTTATGGTTGGTGGTCTGTTGTTGCTGCAATGGATCTATTTTACTGCTTTACTTGTTATCATTTACAAATTTCTATACAAATGAATTAGTACCACAAAATGATACTTACTTCTGTATTCTCTAACAGGGGTGGTACTGGGAGGTCAGTAGGGGGTGGTACTGGGAGGTCAGTAGGGGTTGGTACTGGGAGGGGCAGTAGGGGATGGTGGTACTGGGAGGTCTGGGAGGTCAGTAGGGGGTGGTACTGGGAGGTCAGTAGGGGGTGGTACTGGGAGGTCTGGGAGGTCAGTAGGGGGTGGTACTGGGAGGTCAGTAGGGGATGGTACTGGGAGGTCAGTAGGGGGGTGGTACTGGGAGGTCAGTAGGGGTTGGTACTGGGAGGGCAGTAGGGGGTGGTACTGGGAGGGCAGTAGGGGGTGGTACAGTAGGGGGGTGGACTGGGAGGTCAGTAGGGGGGGCAGTAGGGGGTGGGTACTGGGAGGGCAGTAGGGGTGGTACTGGGAGGGCAGTGGGTAGGGTCAGTAGGGGGTGGTACTGGGAGGTCAGTAGGGGGTGGTACTGGGAGGTCAGTAGGGGGGTGTATGGGGGGTGGTACTGGGAGGTCAGTAGGGGGTGGTAGGGGTGGTGGTACTGGGAGGTCAGTAGGGGGGTACTGGGAGGTCAGTAGGGGGTGGTACCAAGGGACGGTGCGCTTTAAAGTAAATCAAGCCACAGTTGACAGCCATTTATTAGAAATTCACTGGTTCCATGTACTGCTCAGGGATTAGCCTCACTGTCTTGCAGATGTGCATGCTCTGCTTTTCTCCCGCTAGACAGAACTTACTGGCATCTGGTTGGCTTTCACCCAAAATTGGTGCTACAATATCCTGTGTGCTTTTAAGTGTAGCAAGGACATTGTACTGTTATCTCTTTCAGTAACAGGGACCAATGCCCATGTTTTAACATTTCCTTTATAGCACTATTAATGAAAAATAATGGTTTAAATATCATATATTATTATAAGTATTATTATTATTCTTATAATAAAATTAATAATAACAATAATAATAATTATTATTATTATTTAATTATGTATAATAATAATTATTATTAAAATAGTTATATTAAATTAAGTATTATTAATGTTGTTGTATTTTATGATAACATTATAATATAAAATAATAAAAAATATATTTTGCTATGCTGCTCTACAGTATGAAAATTTGCTAGAAAATAGAAATAGTATTTCTACACTACCTGCCAATAAAAAAGCAAGCTTCTAGTCTCCACTATAGAATTTAGGGGAAGATTTCATTATGGAAAGGGTGGTAACTGGTGGTAAATGCAGCAGAGGATTAGTTGCTGGAAACAGAAAAACATTATTGCAGCACAGATGTTGTTGATGTAAGGATTAAGTTGGCATCCTCCTGTTCTATTAACCTCTTGCATTGTCTGTTACCGTATCTGCGGTGGAATCAGAGGCTATCTGAGGTCAAGGCTACAATTTTTAAAGCCAAGGCAAACAGCTAATGTATTTTATATATTCATTTTAGTCTTACCTGTCCCAAATAATCCTCACTAATTTCTGCTAGGCACTTCACAAGGTCCTGACCATGTACATTCCCCTAGAGCAGCACAGCATCCTCTGAACTGTGATTGAATAATAAAGGAGCAGCAGCCTACTGATGAAGTTGTCTCTCTGATCTCTCCTAAAGTCAGTGAGCCCCCCTTGTTAGATTCACAGTACTGTACAGTGCAAAAAAAACTATGGTTGATTACAGTGGTGCCCCTCCCTCTCCCCGGATGTGCAAAGGTTTACAGGAAGGCTAGAGGAGGTAGATTTGGATATTATTATTAATCAAAGTATTTTATTTTAATTTATTTTATATTATTTAATTGAAGTATTTTATTTAATTTATTTTATATGATAAAATTGAAGAAAAATATATTTTAAATATAGTGTAAAAATATTCTTTATTGACATATATTTGAAATACTACAATTTTTTTTTTTCACAATATATATTGAAGTATTTTATTTAATTTATTTTATATGATAAAATTGAAGAAAAATATATTTTAAATATAGTGTCAAAATATTCTTTATTGACATATATTTGAAATACTACAATTTAGATTTTTTTTTTCACAATATATTTCAATAATATATATATAAATATATATATATATATATACACATATATATATATATATATATATATATATATATACAATCTCCTAGATTGTAAGCTGAAAGAGCAGGGCCCTCAATCCCCTCATGTTTTGCATTGTATTGGTATTGTTCTGTCACATGTACTGTCCCCCTTTGTAATGTACAGCGCTGAGCGAACTATTGGCGCTTTATAAATACTGTATAATAATAATAATATATATATATATATATACACTGTATGTTGAAATGTGTTTTTATTACAAAATATATGAAAAATATGTTTAAAAATAAATTTTCAATTATACTGTGTGTCTTTAAAAATACATTTAATCTACATTTTTGGAATGCATTCACAAATAGATGCCAAAATATATGTTAAAATTACTTTTTATTTGTAAAATGAAGAATATATTTTCAAAAAATATATATTTAAAAATATTTTTCATCTATTTTGACTTTCTGGACTTCTAGGAAACAACATACCTATATGGTGTAAATTTTAAAAAGTAGATTTCTAGCCTTACAAAGGAAAAAAAAAATATTTACAACTCTCGGACGTCTTTTTCTTCTTTTTCTTTGCAGGGTCTTTGTAAATGTGGGATCTGTTGTCCCTTTTCCAAAGTGCTTTACAGACGCCCAAAGTCCCGAGATCCGACAGAAGTGCCAGCAGGGACAGAAGCCGATGTTCTGCCAGGAACTTCTACGAAACGACTTTGTCATAGACTGGTGCAATGTGAGCTTGGTGAGTAGCAGATGTACTACCAGAACTGAACAGCAGGTGGCATAAGTAGCCATGATAATGCAATGGTTGACCCGCTGAACAGCAGCTGCCATGTGCACACATTTATGTCATTGTCATGTTTTGCTCAAATTCGATGAATTTGATTGAATCTGCTGAAGGATACGGTTACCGATGCTCAATATTGTCCTATAACCGATTAATAAACAATGCAAACAAGACCCGATCTGGATCCTGAAATCATTGGCTGCTGGAGACGTTGGGATTTGTTGTCCAATGTTTTAGTAAAGGATAGTTTGTACATTTAAATTGCATTTACGCTTTGAATATATATTCTGCTCTCAAATGCTGGTTTATGCATAGACATACCTCCTTAGACCCAGTCTACCCAGATAGTATAGTCACCTGCTTACTTGCACCATCCACACAGCTTTACTCTTCAACAAGAATTTAGAATATAAAGCCAGCCGTAAATGAGGCGAAAAGGGAACGTTCTGTCAATCAAAAAACGAATATAGCTCATCCGATTGTGTCATCATATGTCTTTGTTTTTTTAAAAAAAAAACCCAAAACAGCATGTTGGATCGGGCACTTTCCATAGCGGCAAAAAAATAGCGTGGTACACTAATGATGTGAAAAACTAATGACTCGAAGATCTGCACGGGTTTTCAACTCATCTATGGCCGGCTTAACACTGAGCAGGGCTAAGCTGGTTGCAATGACTTTGATTTGGTTCACATCAACATTCGCAATTTGCAAACTTGTTTCACACTTTTCAAATTGAACACACACAGGTCGATTTCCAAAAAAATTTTCTTTAGAAAATCGGAAAGTTCGTGCATTTTTGTAACCCGATGGTGCCACCATTGATTCAACCAAACAAGCCTTCAATTGCACCCCTTGTTGCTCCAGAAAAAGAATTTTCATGGCCAAGAATTTTCTTTTCTTTCCAGTTCACAGCTCACCCTCATTTCTTTTTCGTTTTATATTTCCCGCACAATTCTCCCATCATTGATTCGAAATTCGTTTTGTTTTTCAAAAAATTTCCAATATGCCCAATCACTCAAATTTGACCAACAATGGGGCACAGTTCATCCCAATGATACCAAGAATGGGGCCCAATCACACCAATGATGGGGCACAATTCCCACCAATGACACCAACAATGGGGCACAGTTCATCCCAATGATACCAAGAACGGGGCCCAATCACACCAATGACGGGGCACAATTCCCACCAATGACACCAACAATGGCGCACAGTTCATCTCAAAGATACCAAGAATGGGGACCCAATCACACCAATGATGGGACACAATTCCCACGAATGACACCAACAATGGGGCACAGTTCATCTCAAAGATACCAAGAATGGGGCCCAATCACATCAATGATGGGGCACAATTCCCACTAATGACACCAACAGTGGGGCACAGTTCATCCCAATGATACCAAGAATGGGGCCCAATCACACCAATGATGGGGCACAATTCCCACCAATGACACCAACAATGGGGCACAGTTCATTTCAATGATACCAAGCATGGGGCCCAATCACACCAATGATGGGGCACAATTCCCACCAATGACACCAACAATGGGGCAGAGTTCATCCCAATGATACCAAGAATGGGGCCCAATCACACCAATGACGGGGACACAAATTCCCACCAATGACACCAACAATGGGCACAGTTAATCTCAATGATACCAAGAATGGGGCCCAATCACACCGATGATGGGGCACAATTCCCACCAATGACACCAACAATGGGGCACAGTTCATCCCAAAGATACCAAGAATGAGGCCCAATTACACCAATGATGGGGCACAATTCCCACCAATGACATCAACAATGGGGATGAACTGGTGTGATTGGGCCCCATTCTTGGTATCATTGGGATGAACTCTGCCCCATTGCAAAAACACTGCAAAAATCATCCGATGCCATTGCCCCACTAACAGTGTGAAAATTTTGAACGAAAAATCGGCCAATGAACGAACCGTCTATTGCCTGCATTAGTCTGGCTGAAAAAAAGACAAAAGTCCATCCAGTTCAACCATAGAAAATAAAAAAAAAGGAGGTATCTTTTCTCAGTCTCCCCCCCCCCCCCGGTGATCACTCAGACTGTACACTGTAACTTGGCAGCAATTTACAAGGTAAGAGGCTACAGCAGGGTCTGATCTGTGTCAGACTTTTGTGTACCCTGCCACAAAGCATACAGGATTTACATGACTGTGAGTCTGCATCTCAGTCCAGAAAGTAGGTGGGGACTCTGGATAATGCCAGAACAAAATGGCCCCCTCCTGCAGTGAAAAAGATAGAAGACATTTTCAAAGGCAGGCATATTACATACATGGATTTGGGGGTTAGCATACACTTTAAATAATACATCTCTCTATAGGTCTGTGGACAGTGCAAAACTTAGGTTTACATTCAGTATTCGGATACATTAAAAAAAAAAGGAAGGGTAATGTATTTTGCAGTATCAGTGCTGGCTCCCTCTGAATTCACACTGCTGGCTCCATGATGTTTCAGGACTGCTCAGTAGTGAATATATAGGGCCCTCCTTTGTCTGATGAGGTGAATATATAGGGCCCTCCTCTGTCTGATGGGGTGAATATATAGGGTCCTCCTTTGTCTGATGGGGTGAATATGTAGGGCCCTCCTCTGTCTGATGGGGTGAATATGTAGGGCCCTCCTTTGTCTGATGGAGTGAATATGTAGGGCCCTCCTTTGTCTGATGGGGTGAATATATAGGGCCCTCCTTTGTCTGATGGGGTGAATATGTAGGGCCCTCCTTTGTCTGATGGGGTGTATATGTAGGGCCCTCCTTTGTCTGATGGGGTGTATATATAAGGCCCTCCTCTGTCTGATGGGGTGAATATGTAGGGCCCTCCTTTGTCTGATGGGGTGAATATATAGGGCCCTCCTTTGTCTGATGGGGGTGGTTATGTAGGGCCCTCCTCTGTCTGATGGGGTGTATATGTAGTGCCCTCCTTTGTCTGATGGGGTGTATATATAAGGCCCTCCTCTGTCTGATGGGGTGAATATGTAAGGCCCTCCTCTGTCTGATGGGGTGAATATGTAGGGCCCTCCTTTGTCTGATGGGGTGAATATATAGGGCCCTCCTTTGTCTGATGGGGTGGTTATGTAGGGCCCTCCTTTGTCTGATGGGGTGTTATGTAGGGCCCTCCTTTGTCTGATGGGGTGTATATGTAAGGCCCTCCTCTGTCTGATGGGGTGTATATATAGGGCCCTCCTTTGTCTGATGGGGTGAATATGTAGGGCCCTCCTTTGTCTGATGGGGTGAATATGTAGGGCCCTCCTTTGTCTGATGGGGTGAATATGTAGGGCCCTCCTTTGTCTGATGGGGTGAATATGTAGGGCCCTCCTTTGTCTGATGGGGTGAATATGTAGGGCCCTCCTTTGTCTGATGGGTGAATATATAGGGCACTCCTTTGTCTGATGGGGTGAATATATAGGGCACTCCTTTGTCTGATGGGGTGAATATATAGGGCCCTCCTTTGTCTGATGGGGTGAATATATAGGGCCCTCCTTTGTCTGATGGGGTGAATATGTAGGGCCCTCCTTTGTCTGATGGGGAAGTCACATGCTGCACTTGGGGAGTATGTGTCAATTTTTCCATTGTGTCTATGCCGGCTGGAACCTGGGGATCTAATGTCTGCCTTGTGAGGCCATCTAGTGGATAAATATGTATTTGCAGAGAGGTTGGCTGACAGCAAGATTCACAAGGAGGGATCTTCCTTCCCTGAGGCTGTAGGGGTGTTTGCTTTGTGTCAGAATTCATTCATCAGTCATTTAGATGTTCAGACTTGCATGGCAACCCTAGATAAAGGCTGCTCTAAAAAAAAAAAGAAAAAAAAAGAAATGACTTCCTATTTAAGGATTGAGATTTAATAAAATGCCAAGCACTATCATAGGGATTAGGTTATCTCTTAGATTGTAAGCTCCAAGGATCAGGCCCTCCTATCCCTCTTGTATTGAACTGTATTGTTGCTGTATTGTCTCCCGTTATATTGTAAAGTGCTGAGCAAACTGTTGGCGCTATATAAATCCTGTATAAGAATTATTATTATTATTGTTATTAGTGTTATTATTACTGTTCTTATTATTATTATTTTATTATTATTACTGTTATTATTATTATTATTTTTTTATTATTGTTATTATTACTGTTATTATTATTTATTATTACTGTTGTTATTATTATTATTATTACTGTTATTATTGTTATTATTATTATTATTATTATTGTTATTTATACAGGATTTATATATATATTAACAGTTTGCTCAGCGTTTTACAATATAAAGGGAGACAATACAGCAACAATACAGTTCAATACAAGAGGGATAGGAGGGCCTGATCTTTGGAGCTTACAATCTAGGAGGGAGGGGCTAGTGGTACAAAAGGTAGTAACTGTGGGGGATGTACTGGTTGGAAGAGTAGAAGATTCAAGTCTTAGCTGAGGGCAGGATAGGCTTCCCTGAAGAGATAGGTTTTCAGAGACTATTATTATTGTTATTATTGTTATTACTGTTATTATTATTATTGTTATTATTGTTGTTGTTATTGCTGTTATTGTTGTTATTATTGTTATTATTATTCCAGGTAACCAGTGAAACCAGTCCATAATAATAATAATAATAATAATAATGTCTTATGGGGTGAGGGAAGGCTAAGGGTGACATCATTAAATATATAAAGGAGTGGAAGATAGATACAAAAATTGCTCTCCATATCCTTGTGAACAGGGTATTACTGGTGCCACACCCCTAATGAGAAATGTATTGAATAAGACGCTAACCAAGAAAAACTAATGCGGCTACCAGATCATATACATTTTCTTCAACGGTGTTCAATTTTATTAATTGTCTGTATATATTTATGTATAATCAATCTTGATTATATGGTTTGGTACCCTAAAAGCCCCATTAGTTTTTCTTGGTTAGGGTCTTATTCAATACGGGTCAAATCATGTTGGGGGATATTCTTTTTTTTTTTTGAACACTGAGAAGCCATGCCAAATATTTCCTGCGCCATATTCTCAGCACCAAAACATAAATCAAAGGCAAATAGACTGTGCACTTTTTATTTAACTTTTTTTCAGGTACTTACTGTATATATGTGAAAGTACAGTATATCCACTGAATACCAAGGATGGGGCACAATTCCCACTAATGACACCAACAATGGGGCACAGTTGATACCAAGGATGGGGCACAATTCCCACTAATGACACCAACAATGGGGCACAGTTGATACCAAGGATGGGGCACAATTCCCACTAATGACACCAACAATGGGGCACAGATGATACCAAGCCATCAATTTTTGCAGTGCCCCATTCTTGGTGTCATTGGTGAGAATTGTACCCCATCCTTGGTATCAACTGTGCCCCATTAGTGGGAATTATGCCCTGTCATTTGTCATTGGTATCAACTGTGCCCCATTGTTGGTGTCATTAGTGGGAATTGTGCCCTATCCTTGGTATCAACTGTGCCCCATTGTTGGTGTCATTAGTGGGAATTGTGCCCTATCATTGGTATTCAGTGGATATAATGTACTTTCACATCAGTCCCTAACCCTCAAGGGGCATACAATCTAAGGTCCCTAACTTACATTCATATACATACTAGGGTCAATTTGGACAGGAACCAATTAACTCACCAGCATGTCTTTGGAGTGTGGGAGGAAATTGAAGTTCCCAGAGAAAACCCGCACAGGGAAAACATTTAAACTGCAGGCAGGTGGTGCCGTGGTTGGGATTTGAACCAATAACCCCAGTACTGCAAGGTGGAAGTGCTAACCATTTAGCCACTGTGCTGGAGTTGCTCCAGTGCTTAATAAATGAGATGAAGCTTCACTTTGTGAAATATCCAATCACAGGAAAATGTAAAAAAAAAAATTTTTTGCTTGCTCATGATTAGATGATGGATATCAGCAGAGCTTGCCCTCGATTACTAAGCTCTGGAGAAACTGCACTTGCAAAGTGTACAATTAGGGTGGCCGAAATGTTTCAGCCGAAAACACCCCTTTTGGCCATTGGCCAAAATGAAAAAAAAAAACACTGATAAAAAAAAAAAAGTTTAAAGGGTCTCCATCCCCACATAGTGGTGAACGCATACGTAGGCCATGCCCACATATGTAAACGGTGTTTAAACCACATGTATTTTAGATGTGCAAGAAAAAATCCAAAGATCGGGGCCGGGGTGCATACTCTGGCATGTCCACCTTGACTACCCAACAATGTCCTACAACTGAGTAGACTAGTTCATGTTTCGATCTCAACTTTAGTTGTTATCTAGAGTTTCCATTTCAATCGGCCATGTTCATTCAAGGCAATGTTCATCACCTCCCCTTGTGGTCGATTATAAACACCATTTCATGTCTGCGACCGCTGTGAGATTTGGAACAAGATTTCAATTGTTCTATTGAATTTCCAAATGTTTGGCCAGCTTGAACCTGTCATCAGATGCAGCAAGCTATGTAATGCTATGTCTACACCTTGTATCAACCTTGTAGCTGTATATATTTTAGATGTGCAAGAAGAATCCAAAGATTGGGGCCAGGGTGCGTACTCTGGCATGTCCACCTTGACTACCCAACAATGTCCTACAACTGAGTAGACTAGTTCATGTTTCGATCTCAACTTTAGTTGTTATCTAGAGTTTCCATTTCAGTCGCCATTGTTCATTCAAGGCAATGTTGATCACGTCCCCTTGTGGTCGATTATAAACACCATTTCATGTCTGCGACGGCTGTGCGATTTGGAACAAGATTTCAATTGTTCTATTGAATTTACAAATGTTTGGCCAGCTTGAACCTTTCATCAGGTGCAGCAAGCTATGTAATGCTATGTCTACACCTTGTATCAACCTTGTAGCTGTATATTTTACATGTGCAAGAAGAACCCAAAAGATCGGGGCCGGGGTGCGTACTCTGGCATGTCCATCTTGACTACCCAATGATGTTGTCCTACAACTGGGTAGACTAGTTCATGTCTGCATCTCAACTTTAGCTGTTATCTAGAGTTTCCATTTCAGTCGCCATTGTTAATTCAAGGCAATGTTGATCACGTCCCCTTGTGGTCGATTATAAACACCATTTCATGTCTGCGACCGCTGTGCGATTTGGAACAAGATATCAATTGTCCTATTGAATTTCCAAATGTTTGGCCAGCTTGAACCTGTCATCAGGTGCAGCAAGCTAAGTAATGTGTCAGGCCTCATTCACACTAACTGAACATGGTGCTGCAAGTATACATGTGGCCAGGATCCCAGGTGAACAAAGGGCTTCCTTGTGCATACGGCATCAACACACCTTTGTCAGGCCAATTGACTTACTGACCTGAAATACGTATGCAGCTCAGAAGTCCTAAAACTTCTCTGGCTAGTGACTTCCAAATCTGCAAAGGCAGCTCCCATATTTCCAATCTGGTAAGTTCCCTTTAAAAATAGGTCTTAATTTATTTATTACAGGTACTTATATAACACCATCAATTTACGCAGCACTTTACATATATATTGTACATTCACATCAGTCCCTAACCCTCAAGGGGCATACAATCTAAGGTCCCTAACTCACATTCATACACATACTAGGACCAATTTAGACAGGAGCCAATTCACCTACCAGCATGTCTTTGGAGTGTGGGAGGAAACCAGAGTACCCAGAGGAAACCTATGCAGGTACAGGGAGAACATGCAAACTCCAGGGAGGTGGTGCTGTGGCTGGGATTCAAACCAGCACCCTGAGCACTGCCAGGTGGAAGTGCTAACCATTTAGCCACTGTACTGCAATAAGTGGATTGTTCTTGTATGATGATTTTGTGATTGCTATATTTCGTCCTCAGACACAGATTAGATGACACTCCTTATTTCTTGTTGCAGGTTGATAAATTGGAGCCATCTCCCTCTCCTCCTATCTATAAAGCCCTGGAATTCGAAGGAGACTTTAATCCGCCTCCTGACACCCTGGAGGAAATCAACTACCTCCCTGCTTACCTGCTCACCCTTTTACTTCCCACGCTGATCGCTCTGCTGCTGTGTCTGCTGCTCTCTTACATCATGTGCTGCCGTAGAGAGGGGGTGTAAGTATTACACAGATATGGCGTTCACCTAAATCCTGGAAATCAAATTCCTTTTGGCCACTGTGAGTTTGTCCGTAGCACTTAAACTAGCTCTGTTTATTGAAACCGGTTGTAGGTCCTGAGTTCTCTGCTCGTTTGAACAAGTTTGCGTTTCTGGATGATTAAGAATAGGGGTGAGCAAATCCATTGAGGTTTCAGTCACCAAGGTTTCGTCAAATTCATACCAAAATATGTGAACCGCAAATTCTGCTGCAAACCTCATTATAGTCAATGGGAGGTGAATTTTATTGAGAAATCATGACCCACTGTAGGGCTGCTCGGCAAGATATTGCCAAACAAATGCCATAGGGAGGCTGACACTGCTGTGGGGGATCTGAGCCAATGCAAAAAAATAAATTTACACAGAGAAGAGGGCCTATCTATTTGGCTTTGAGGGCACCATGGTAAATGCCATAAAGTTGTACATGGTGTTTCGGGACAACTCGATTTTCATAGACCTCCTCAATAATAGAGTAATTTGGCAGGCACATGTGAATCTGACTCTTGCACGTTTTTTGCGAAACCATGGTTGGTGCAAATCTGAACTTCATCCCTAAATTAAGAACATGATATTTAGGACATTGACTCTGAATGTGTTATTTAGTGATGTAGATTACACTATGTTATTTTTTTTACCTAAAGAGAGAAGAGAGATGCCAATACAGCTGAGTAAGTTCCAAAACCTGTGTGTCCAACTTTTGCATTGCATGTGCACATTGTACTGGTAGTGTTTTTCCTGTTGTTCCTTCGTTTATAATTCTCAGTAGTGTACATCTGGACTGTGGGCCTAGATATGCCAAACGTTTAACTCTACTCAAAACTTTGGTTTTGAGTGAATGTTGGCAGTAGTGAATTATGACCACTAGAACTCCAAGGACTGCTGATGGGTCACCCCTCACACCCAAAGTCCCTTTTTCTTACTTGTTTCTGGTCAGTGAATCCAAGTATTTTGATGTCAGAAGGCCTGCATAACAATCAGGCCATGTGCAGAAGAAGAGGCCAATAAAGGCAACCTGCTAGCTGCCTTGATGCCTAAATCGGTATGGCTGCCGATGTGCTCAATTTTTAAATAACAAATTTGAGTTTTCAAAAACGCAGTATTCCCTGTCTCCGAGCTCTGGCTTCCATAGCACCCAGAGAGACAGTAATCACTGTCTCAGAGCTCTTCCCTTTTGTAAATGCCAAAGAAGTCAGTAATCCATAAGTCTCAGCTCTGCCTTTGGTAGATTCCAAACAGAGTCAGTATTTCCTCTCTCTGAACACTGCCCTTGGTAAATCCCAAAGAGAGTCAATATTCCCTGCCATTGGTAGATCCCAAAGAGAGTCATTATTCCTTGTCTCTATGTTTTGCCCTTGGTAGAGCTCAAAAAAAGCCAGCATTCCCCCTGTCTCTCAACACTGCCATTGGTAGATCCCAAAGAAAGTCAGTACTTCCTGTCTCTGAGCTGTGTTCTTGGTAGATCCCAAAGATGTCAGCAATCCCTGTCTCAGAGTTCTGCCCTTGGTAGATCCCAAAGAGAGTCGGTATTTCCTGTCTCTAAGCCCTGTCCTTGGAGGATCCCAAAGAGAGTCTGTATTCCCTGTCCTTGGTAGATCCCAAAGAGAGTCATTATTCCCTGCCATTGGTAGACCCAAAGAGAATCAATATTCCTTATCTCTGAGTACTGCGATTGGTAGACCTGAAGAGAATCAATATTCTCTGTCTCTGAGCTCAGCCCTTGCTAGATCCCAAAGAGTGTCATTTCTTGTTTCTAAGCCCTGGCTTTATTAGGTTCCAAAGAGTCAGCATTCCCTTTCTCTCTGCACTGCAGTTGAAAATGCAAAAGAGCGTTGGTATTCCTGTCTCTGAGCTCTTGCCTTGGTAAATCCCAAAAAGAGTGAGAATTCCATACCCCTGGTAGATTCAAAAGAAAATCATTATTCCATGTCTCTAAGCCCTAACTTTGGTAGATTTCCAAGAGAGCCATTACTCCTTGTCTCAGCACTGCCAGAGAGAGTCAGTATTTCCTGTCTCTGAACCCTGCCCTTGGTAGATCCCAAAGAGAGTCATTATTTCCTGTCTCTGAGCCCTGCTCTTGGTAGATCCCAAATAGAGTCAGTATTTCCTGTCTCTGAGCCTTGCTCTTGGTAGACCCGAAGAGAATCAATATTCCTTGTCTCTGAGTACAGCCATTGGTAGACCCGAAGACAATCAATATTCTCTGTCTCTGAGCTTGGCCATTGGTAGATCCCAAAGAGAGTCAGTATTTCCTGTCTCTGAGCCTTGCTCTTGGTAGACCCGAAGAGAATCAATATTCCTTGTCTCTGAGTACTGCCATTGATAGACCAGAAGAGAATCAATATTCTCTGTCTCTGAGCTCGACCATTGGTAGATCCTAAAGAAAGTCATTAGGTCCTGTCTCTGAGCTATAATCTTGGTAAATCCCAAAGAAGTCAGTAATCCCTGTCTCTGAGTTATGCCCTTGGTAGGTCCCAAAGAAAGTCAGTATTTCCTGTCTGAGTCCTGCCCTTGGTAGACCCGAAGAGAATCAATATTCCTTGTCTCTGAGTCCTGCCTTGGTAGACCCAAAGAGAATCAATATTCCTTGTCTCTGAGTACAGCCATTGGTAGACCCAAAGACAATCAATATTCTCTGTCTCTGAGCTCGGCCATTGGTAGATCCCAAAGAGAGTCAGTATTTCCTGTCTCTGAGTCCTGCTCTTGGTAGACCCAAAGAGAATCAATATTCCTTGTCTCTGAGTACTGCCATTGATAGACCAGAAGAGAATCAATATTCTCTGTCTCTGAGCTCGGCCATCGGTAGATCCTAAAGAAAGTCATTAGGTCCTGTCTCTGAGCTATAATCTTGGTAAATCCCAAAGAAGTCAGTAATCCCTGTCTCTGAGTTCTGCCCTTACTAGATCCCAAAGACAGTATTCCCTGCACTTGGCAGACCCAATGAGAGTCAATATTTCCTGTCTCTCAATTCTGCCTGTGGTAGATCCCAAAAGAAAATCATTATTTTCTGTCTCTGAGCTCAGCCCTTGGTAGATCCCAGATAGAGTCAGCATTCCCTGTTTCTGATCTGTGTCCTTGGGCTGCTTCTGCACCCAGCTGGACATTGTCAGAGGAATGGGAAAGAGTCCCACAATACAAACAAATGAGCAAAGTATAGGTTCATTTTAATGGCTTTCAAAGTCTCTGTGAAATGGGACATGTGAAAGCATTAAAAAAAAATTTGGAGCTGTGAGGGGCCTCTCCTAATTTTATATATCATCAGCGTTTGCAGCATCAGAAACTTTAATAGGTGTAGAGATCTAAATGCAGCCTTGACATTACAATCCATGGAAGTGTTATGGCTTAGGCTGCCATTCTACTTTGAGATAAATGAAATGCACTGACTTTAGCATGTCTGCAGATTTTACTGATGTACGAGCAGCTTCCTGGCTGATTGTTCTTGCTGTCTGTAGTCATTCTTTCCTGTTTGTATTTGATCTGGCTGATTACCTATTTTTTTTATGTTTTTAGGTACAGAGTGTGAATTCTATGTTTGCATGGTGATTGCTATATGCTATACAGGGGCGGACTGACCATTTGGAAACTCGGGCACTGCCCCAGGACCCGGGGTCAGTAGGGGGCCCCATGAGATGGCCCTGGTACCTTTTTCATAGGCTTTTTTGAGTTTGGGCAAGGACACAGGGGCCCCATGATCCCCTATTGCCCGGGGGCTCCTTGAGTTGTCAGTCCGCCCCTGATGCTATATTTGCTTGTTATAGCATGCTATGTTCTCTATTACAACACAGTATGATGGATGTCTCTTGTCTCAAGACAAAATCACAACATTTTTATATAGATAGAGAAATTGCATTAAAAGCCATGGACATGTCACCAAGAGAATCTGCAGAGCTTTGCAGGTACGGGCTAGAATAACATTAACCTCTTATTGTCCACGTAATGCATTTGTGTGGCGGCAAAGATGGTGGGCTTTAATGCCCACACACCCCACATAGGCATTCATGGACAGCCGAGGTTCCTCTGCTGACAGTGCGCTCAGTGCAAGCTCTCAGCACAGTGACTGAGCTGTCATAGACAGCTGTCAGCCTCTATGATCAGGAGTGGAGTCTCTATGATCAGGAGGTGGAGGGACAGGCTCCTGATCATGTGATCACTTTGACAGCCAATCACAATGGTCATGTGATTGGGAAGTTTGTCCCACCCCCTTGGCATAAAGACCCATTTAAAAAGATGCCAGTGCTGGGCAGGAAGGGGTTAAGATATTGAAGCCATGAGCTTATAATTAGCAAGAATGCTGATGACAGTGTCTGTTCAAGCTGAAATTTAATCAGTTTATTTTTGCCTTCCCTGGTCCCCTTTCTCCGCCTTATCAGTGTGCTAATGACATTTTTAAGTGAAACACTTTCTTTTTCATTACATACCTTATTTTAGACCCAGTGACATCATCACTGGGTTTCTGTGCTTCCCTAAGCAATGTAGGCAGATCATGGCTGGTGGGAGGGGCCATCAGGGTGCTGTACACAGGATTCTGAAAACACCATAGCACCCTGCCTCTGTACTACTTTCAAGGGCTAGTAGTGGACCAACTCTTGAAGGAGCTATGTAAGTATCTAAATTCCGTGATGGGTAGAAGTCAGTCTGGAGGATTGGGTGTTTCTAGGTAGGCTGTGTTTGCATGCAGACTAAAGCTCACATATGATGCTGGGCCTCCATAATTGAAACTGGAATCCACTGAATGTAAGGGGTGGGCCCAGGATATTAAGGCTGGGGAGGAAAGAGCTAGATGATGGACACCCAGGAACTGAAGTGGACCCTGCTGGACCTTCTAATGCACAGAAGCTTATCAAAATAAGCAATTTCAGTACAGGAGAGGAGCCTGAAGACTGAAGGTAAGGATGGAGTTTAGCTTTAATTGCCTCCCACCCAGTTTATACTCACTCCTTCCCTACCCAGAAAGTTATTGTTTTGAGCATCACCACTGGGCCTGTGCATATGCATCACACTTTCCATGCAATCCTATGTAGAACTTGTACTGGAATATGGAGTACAAATCTTTCTATAGCAGCCATTCTCAACTATGGTTCTTCCAGAGGTTGCTAGGGGTCCCTTGAGCTCTGGTTGATTGACCTCCCATCTGATGGTTCCTTCATAGTTCCAGGGTCAATGCCACCAACGCAGAGCCAGCCTATATGACACCATCTTTTAGGTGTCACTAGGGGTGGCATTCTTTCCACTGGCCATAACCGTAAGGGGCAACTTTCTCAATGACCCCCAATGAATTGGTTTTAGCAGGAATTCCCAAGACCTGAAAATTATGTATTGGGTTCCTCATGGGTTAAAAGTTTGAGAAAGGCTTCACTATAGGAATAAATGGAGAGTGCAAGCCAGGCAAAGATTATTATTATTATTACAGGATTTATATAGCGCCAACAGTTTGCGCAGCACTTTACAAAATAACGGGTAGACATTACAGTTACAATACAATTTGGTACCAGAGGAAACAGAGGGCCTGGCTCCTTAGAGATCTTGACAAGCTGCTATATGAAGCTAACAAAGCCAATTGAGGGCAGTGTAATAACTGGGAGGTGGGTAGGAGATGACTTTGGGCCCATGTGGATGGCATCAGTTTGACATTAACTTTAAAAGCTTCTGGGATCATTCAGCATTCATTGGCAGGTGCATTTGACAATCACTTGACCTTCTTCTAGCCAGCTTCGTAGATTTGTATGGGAATGCAAAAAATAAAGGGAACAAAAGCCTATCAACACAGACCTTTAAGAAAACCTGCCAAAAGCGGCAGCCATTGCTGAGTCCTTTTTTGAAATTGCTAGTTACCTGGGCATCGCGCTGACCCTCTTTCTCCAACACTTTGGTTCAATGCTCAAGTACATGTATGAAGATAAAGCATGACTGTTCTTGAACTTTCTTGATCTGCTAGCCGATCCCAGTTCAATGACTCCGAAAATACCGAAGCCAAAGGGTCAGCATAACAACCAGTCAAAATACATTTTCAGGAGGTCAACAGTCGAACTGGGATCAGCTAGCAGATCAAGAAAGTCCAAGAACAGTCACGCCTTATCTTCATACTTGTTCTTGAACATTGAATCAAAGTGTTGGGGAAAGAGGGTCAACGTGATGCCCAAATTGCTAGTTACCTGGGTATCGCGCTGACCCTCTTCTCCCAACACTTTGTTTCAATGCTCAAGAACAAGTATGAAGATAAGGCGTGGCTGTTCTTGGACTTTCTTGATCTGCTAGCCGATCCTAGTTCAATGACTTATAAAATACCGAAGCCAAAGGGTCAGCATAACAACCAGTCAAAATACATTTTCAGGAGGTCAACAGTCGAACTGGGATCAGCTAGCAGATCAAGAAAGTCCAAGAACAGTCACGCCTTATCTTCATACTTGTTCTTGAGCATTGAATCAAAGTGTTGGGGAAAGAGGGTCAACATGATGCCCAAATTGCTAGTTACCTGGGCATCGCGCTGACCCTCTTCTCCCAACACTTTGGTTCAATGCTCAAGAACAAGTATGAAGATAAGGCGTGACTGTTCTTGGACTTTTTTGAGCTGCTAGCCGATCCCAGTTCAATGACTCCGAAAATACTGAAGCCAAAGGGTCAGCATAACAACCAGTCAAATGGCATTTTCAGGAGGTCAACAGTCGCAGCCCCCATCCAATAGTATTGCCTATGCCAGCTTGTGTCAGCAATGGCAGCCTTTATGTTCTTTTCTGGGAGGTCTACTTTGAAATAGGACTGCTCTGTACTGTAATGCTATCTTGCAGCACGTTCCTGATGGGTGACAAGATACCTGCAGTGTGGTGTAATGGATGGTTGGAAGTCATTTTTATATATTACAACACACCTCTTTTGTCTCACAGGCTCCAGTTGGTTCATCAGCAGTCCATCTTCTCCAACACGGAAGAACTTCGGAAGATGGCTGCCAATCGGGATGTTCCACGACCACTCTCCACATTGCCAATGTTTAATGCTCGAACTGGTCAGAGGACATCTCCAATGGATATATCAGGTGACAGTGCCCGCGTGCCTCTTATCCTGTCCCAGCAGTAAAGGTACTTACCTTACCTCCACACAATAAGGTATGTAGACTCTGAATAAATGTAATTTATTGGAAGTGAATGTACTCTAAAATGATACATGCAACATTATTCACATTGGGTTCCTATTGGAGTTTTCATGTGTTAAACACACAAAGCATAGTGTGAATGTATTCAAAAATTTACTCTTGCCTTTTCTTTACATTCTAGTACATATATTCCCCGTCAGTAATTTAGGTTTATTTTTCAGGAAGAAGACTTGTTATGGATCCGGGAACCAGAGATGGGGGACGAGTTGTAGCACAATTGCAGTTCTTACATGTATGATATGTAAAGGAAAATTCTTTGCACTGTGTGGTGTAATCTTATGATGGTATACGGCTGAGTAAACAAATTCCTATAATATTCTCATTGAACCTGAACATCTTCTACTGCCGTTACCTCATACTTTGGAACCCTGCAGTCATTTATGTATACAAGATGTTAGCAAGGAACTGATCTCTGAAAGCTGCACCAGGCAGAGGGCAAAGGACTAGTCATCAGTATTGCCTGTGGTCTTCCTCCAGCTTTTCTCCATTAATGGCTTACTATGCCTTGTTCTGCACTGTGTGTCTTGATGGAGGTGGCCATCTTGGTAGAGGCAGGGCTTGGCTTCCTCATGACAGAACCTCCAGCAAGGAGAACAGTGAGCAGCATGATGGTAACATCACCAAATCTTACTCCAGATCTCCTGAGACTAGCAGTCAAAGTCATGGTGCCTTGGTTCTCACACTGCAGCTATGAGGCTGTAGACATCTTTCCTTTTTGGGTTATTTTCCACCTTAATTCAAGCTGTATGAGTTATTTTAAGGATGATGGTACTTGTAAAAAACATAACCCAACAGCCCCCCATTATCCTCCCTGCTGTTCCTTCTCCTCTACATACCAAGACAGGGAAGCCATGGCCTATGGCAAGGTGGTGCTCCCATCTTTCTCAGGGCAAGCAGAACAGAACGCTACTGCACTTGACCGGCCTTCCTCTATAGGCCCCATCAGGAAGGCTGTCTCCCTACAGGCTTAAAAGTATAGAAAATCTCCAAGGGGGGCCTATGGAGAACAGAGTATGTTGACTTGGAGAAGGATAGGATGGAATGACACCTGGTCCTGTCCCAGCATAGGTCACGGCTCCTAGTACGGGTCACGGGCTGATCTAAAACTTGTAGAAGATGTTATATATAACAGAATGGGGGGAGCTGATAGAGTTAAGTTTTTTAAAAGTACTCTCATCCTATAATTGTGTTCATTATTCAAATTCTGGTAATTTACTCAATAAAACTGCTCGTCTGCCTAAATATCATTGTTATCTCTTTGTACGAAGTAGATATTTAACCATTAATGAATGATTGCAAAAGTTTACTTCTTATGAATTGGTATGTTATCTTCAACCTTGAAAGCCCCTGATTTTCTGCCCTCCTGTTATTGGTTGCTAGTATTTTATCGGCCAGAGCACACAGTATCATTGGTTGCCAGGATGCTAATGACTGGGGCACAAAGTATCAATGGTTGCTAGGATTTTTGAGGCCAGGCAACACAATATCATTAGTTGCTAAGTTGCTGACAGCCAGGGCATACAGCTTCATTTGTTACTAGGATGTTGGCAGCCAGGCCACACAGAATCATTGGTTGCTAGGATGCTAACGGCTGGGGCACAAATCTTCAGTGGTTGCTAGGATTTTGGTGGCCAGGCAACACAGTATTATTAGTTGCTAAGATACTGACAGCCAGGGCATACAGCATCATTTGTTACTAGGATGTTGGCAGCCAGGCCACACAGTATCATTGGTTACTAGGATGCTAACGGCTGGGGCACAAATCTTCAGTGGTTGCTAGGATTTTGGTGGCCAGGCAACACAGTATTATTAGTTGTTAAGATGCTGACAGCCAGGGCATACAGCTTCATTTGTTACTAGGATGTTGACAGCCAGGCCACACAGTATCATTGGTTGCTAGGATGCTAACGGCTGGGGCACAAATCTTCAGTGGTTGCTAGGATTTTGGTGGCCAGGCAACACAGTATTATTAGTTGCTAAGATGCTGACAGCCAGGGCATACAGCTTCATTTGTTACTAGGATGTTGACAGCCAGGCCACACAGTAACATTGGTTGCTAGGATGCTAACGGCTGGGGCACAAACCTTCAGTGGTTGCTAGGACTTTGGTGGCCAGGCAACACAGTATTATTAGTTGCTAAGATTCTGACAGCCATGGCATACAGCTTCATTTGTTACTAGGATGTTGACAGCCAGGCCACACAGTATCATTGGTTGCTAGGATGCTAATGGATGAGGCACAAAGCTTCATTGGTTGCTAGGATTTTGGTGGTCAGGCAGTGCAGTATCATTAGTTGCTAAAATGCTGACAGCCAGGGCATAATACAGCTTCATTGGTTACTAAGATGTTGGTGGCCGGACCACACAGAATCATTGGTTGCTAGGATGCTAACGGGTGGGGCACAAAGCTTCATTGGTTGCTAGGATTTTGGTGGCCAGGCAGCGCAGTATCATTAGTTGCTAAAATGCTGACAGCCAGGGCATACAGCTTCATTGGTTACTAGATGTTGGTGGCCAGCCACAGTTTCCATACTTTTAATTAGGCCATTGTACCATGTGATACCATGTGGGTGTCAGTGGAATGCTGGGAGTGAATAGGGAGTACAATATATATACACAGGGAAAGACACAAATAAATCAAGTTTTGTTTTTATTTTATCCCAATCATATATTGCAGTTCCCGGATCCACATCAAACATGCTGCTCAAAGGTGAGTGGGCACAGACCACAAGATCACTGTGGTCTGAGTTGATATGTAAGACAGAAGAATTCCGGATGTACTCCCAATAATAGATCCAAAAACACCTTTATTTAATTGATCCATAGAATACACACAGGTGTACAAGCAAGGGAGGATAGAGGCTAACGCGTTTCACAGAAAAACTGTACTTTGACAATTATTGAACAGATTTATTTATTTCAGTTACTTATATAGCGCTGTCAGTTTACATATATATATATTGTACATTCACATCAGTCCCTAACCATCAAGGAGTGTACAATCTAAGGTCCCTAACTCACATCCATACATACACATACTAGGGCCAATTTAGACAGGAACCAATTCACCTACCAGCATGTCTTTGGAAGGAAACCAGAGTACCTGGAGGAAACCCACACAGGCACAGGGAGAACATGCAAACTCCAGGCAGGTGGTGTCGTGGTGGGATTTGAACTAATGACCCTAGTACTACCAGGTGGAAGTGCTAACCATTTAGCCACTGTGCTGCCCCAGATATAACATAAATGCTAATTTGCTTAACAGGGGACAACTCATGGGGCCCCCGGGCCATAGGGGATCATGGGGCCCCTGTGTCCTTGCCCAAACTCAAAAAAGCCTATGAAAAAGGTACTAGGGGCATCTCATGGGGGCCCCCTACTGACCCCGGGCCCTCGGGCAGTGCCCGAGTTTCCAAATGGTCAGTCCGCCCCTGATGCTTAACAGAACAAAAGGAAGCACATACAAAAGTCAAGGGTTAGGTTTTACATTTGAAGTAACACAGTCCTAACTGGCCCCCATCCTCTTTACTATTGGTCATATTACATTTTTGCAACAAAGGAAATCAGTGTTGCAGCAAATCCGTATCCTGCCATTGCGGAACTCCTTCTGAAAATGCTCATTGCCTGGCAGTCATACTGATTAGGGTTCCAGAATAATACAAAGCAAGAATGTCAGAACTCCTAATCTGTGTGTTTACTCCAGAAAATGTTGCAGCAAGGGGAATGGAATGGCAGCCAGGCGATGAGCATTGTTCAGGAAGAGGACAGCAAAGGCAACCAACATTAGAGATCTCCTTTAAAGGAGGTTTTTGGTCTGTAGTTAATGCGTATCTATTTGCTGGTATGAGCTCTTCTGCAGCTTTTGTTAAATACAATCTTTTCTATTACTTGCCTAATTATATGCTCTTAGGCTATGTATTTATATACTCAAGCAGATGTTACAGTGTTTGTTGTTTCGGGATAGGACACAAAGCTGCTCTGCATTCAGCACAATCGTGGGGAGAAGACACAGCGTGGGGCAATGGAAATAAACAATTGTGTCTCTACATGGAAATTAGTAAAGGAAGACAAGAAGATGCTGCAAATAAAAGGCATTGTGTTTAATTAAAGTGGAACATACATGTAATCTAACGGAGAGAGCCTTGTATGCAAAATCAAAAATGACATATTGTATATGATGCATTCTGTCAGCAGCATTATCACCCCAGTTTCTGATTTCTGAGCCCACCTGTAACAGAGTATTATTACTGGTTGTTCCTGGCAGGACATTCATTCATTATTATTTTCCACTTCCTGCATCAGGGTGACAACACTGTTTGTTGTGCAGTGAAATCGCACGACAGTGTTGTCACTCTTATATGGATAGCTTTTAAAGCAACCAACAAATTAAAGCTCTCCTTCAGCTATCAATACTTTTTAAGCAGATACAGAGATGGGTTTAACATTTTATACTATGTGAATAAACATAGACTGTTGTTTGCACGTTTGGACACAGTGGAGGTGGAGGGGGTAGATTGGTGGTGAGTGGACACAGTGGAAGTGAGAGATGGGTGGTGAGTGGAAACAGTGGAGGTTGGTGGAAGGAAATGAGTGGTGAGTATAGACGGTGGAGGGGAGAGATGGGTGGTGAGTGGAAACAGTGGAGGTCGAGGGGAGAGATGGGTGGTGAGTAGAAAGAAAGAGTGGAGATAGAGGGGGTAGATAGGTGGTGAGTGGACATGGTGGAAGTGGAGGGGGTAGATAGCTGGTGTATGGACACAATGGAATTGAGAGATCAGTGATAGATGGATACAGTGAATGTTGGTAGAAGGAAATGGGTGGTGAGTGTACACAGTGAAGGTTGGTGGAAGGAAATGGGTGGTGAATGTACACAGTGGAGGTGGAGGGGAGAGATGGGTAGCGAGTAGAAACAGTGGAGATAGAGA